GACTCGCGCGGGCAACTCGCGCGCGGTCGGAGCTGCCTGGCGGCGGGAGAAGTCGCGCCCAGCCGAGGCACGCGTGTCTGCGCTCGCACGGTCATGGAAGCGCCGCCGCTGCAGGCCGCGCCGACTCCGCTCCCCGGGCGGAGCCGAAGGCTGCTCCTGCTGCCGCTGCTGCTGTTCCTGCTGCGGGCCGGGGCGCTGCGGGGCTCGGAGGCAGACGGGAAACCCCGAACCCGGGAAGCGGAGTGCCACTTCTACGCGGGTGGACAAGTGTACCCGGGGGAAGCGTCCCGGGTTTCGGTCGCCGACCACTCCCTGCACCTTAGCAAAGCCAAGAGTAGGTGGCACCCCGCCAGGGGTGGGGGTGGCGGTGGCGTAGGGCTGGGGGGAGATGGGGAGAGCTGGGAGACACGTGCACGCAGGTTTCAGGGCTACCCAAGGCCTGGCATGGGCGGCATCTTCTGGGCTGCCTCGAGTCCCCGGTCCGGCCTGGCTGTCTCCTGGGTGTGGGGGCATGGAGGAGGTTTCGGCCCTGAAGAAAGGTATGGTTTCCACAGATCAGATTTGGGAAGAAGTAGTGGTTACCCCAAAAGCCGCAGATGAGGGAAAAGGGGTGACCCTAGTCCGGAGCTTGCAGGCTTCGAGGATGTTGTGCAAACAAACACTTCCTCAAACATCTAAAAGTGCTTGGAGCAATCACATCTGTTTTCAAGCAGTGTTTCTGGGAAGAATGCATTGATGAGTTGAATAATGATTCACAGAAAGTTCGATCAAACAGAAAAGTGGCTAAACAGAACGTCCAGGAGGTCAAACGTTTCTTTTGTTCTTGTCGAATCTAATGAAACTATTAAAAATCACCTTTCCCAAAACCTATTGCTGAAGGGTGGTCTTTGTGTTTCTCAGAAGCGAAGAGCTTGGTGCAGGGCGTGCTTCGACCCCTTTGTTGGGGTGGGAAGGAGATTAGAAGTAACATATTGGGGTTGATGATAAGCCTCGTGGCAAATTTGTGTCCTGCCAGTTTGGCTTTTGATTATTTGCATTTCTGTCCGGTGTACACAACTAATGGCCACTTGCAGGAAGGACACGTCAGACTAAGAGGATTCTGAGAAAGTTGTGGCCTGCTGCATCTGGTTGTTAAGATAAACGGAAAAGAAGTGGGCAGAGACTAAAGGATAAAGATTGTCCCTTGCTTGCTTTTAAATAACCTGCTTTTCTTACGGCTCATTTGGCAGCCTGTAGATGTGTATTTGGCTTTTGTGATTTAGTTACAGTATGTTCTGGACCGTTACTCAGTGAAAAATACAAATAACGCTTCACCATTATGAATCCCCATTGTTAAAGAGGATGGTCTGACTTAGAATGGAGTGGGAACGGTGAGAACAAGTTTGTTTCCTTAAACATTTGCATTTCTTTCCTACTGAAAGTGAACTACTTTGGGGAGTTTGTTTCTTAAAAAGCCAATCTTGCACTTTTAATAATCATGTATTTCCAATATCTTTTGATTTTGCTTGCCTGGGAAAAAATATTTTGAAATATGTCAACCATTTAAGTGTATACTGGCGCTACTAAGTATTTCCCATAAGAAATACCATCCAAGTCTGTTCATGGAGGCAAATTTTAACAATAGGTTTCCCTCTCCCCCCCCAAACCTTTCCAAATTTTAGATGTTTGTCACATTTCTATGCTACTTATAGGCTTATCCAATAGAATGAAAGATGCAAGGCTTTTATTCATAAATGGAATATTATGGAGCCTTTAAAGTCACTTTAAATAGTGTTTAACAATATGAAAAACAGTTCATGATTTCCTGCTTCTCTTTAAAAGTGGGGGTGAGCAACATGATTCTAATTTCTCTTTAAAGGAATCTGAAAGGGAAGAGATCAAAATGTTAGCATGGGGGGGTGAGGGGATTTAAATATTCTTTATACTGCTCTACATTTGCCAGAATCTTTGTTAATTATAGGAGCTATATTCAGGACAATTTTTGTTTTTTAATAGATGCAAGGGACTGCTGTGAGAATTCCATTTATAGATCTTAACAAAGTCACTGCATTTTTTTTGGCTCTATAAATGATGAGGGCTTTTTTTTAACACTAATTCTTTTTTATTATTACTTTTCTTAATATATAATAGTTTGGTTTTACATCATTTGGTACTTTTTTTTTCATCTCAATTGTAATCCCAGTGGGTTTCCCATCACCAAGTTACCCATGTGCCATCACCTTAGTCCAGCGCACTTCCCTCCCCCCACTGTTTTTGATCCCATTCCCCACTCCACCCCCATAAAATGTCTCTGGTATATGGCTGTTCACTAACTGTAATTCTTAAATCAAGAACCCAAATTTTTCAGAATCACGATTTTCAGAACAAAAATTTGTTTTTCAGATTTGATATTCTCAATATGCTAAAATCTTCATGGAGTATGGTGGTGAGATCATTAGTTATAACCTGCACTTAAGTAGTAACATGTATCTATAAATCATAGATTGTTCAGTATCCTTCTTATTCTCCCTCCTGCCTTTACCTAATCAAATCAGGATAAGTAGGTTGCTGGCTCAAAATAAACTATCACATGTTGCCTTATTAACTTCAGAGAGAAATTCATCTTAATTTTGTCTCTTTCTTGGAGACCAAAAATGCTGGCAGTTATACAAAATATAATAAATGCTGGCTATTGTAAGCCTTGTTTCTAGGACTCTCAACCAAACTTGGAGGCATATATTGACTTCAATGTATCTACTTGTCTTGAAAGTTTAAATGCTATCTAAGTATATGAACAGAAGATGGAGGTGTACATTATCTTCAAAGCGTGTTGGCTAATATTACAGCATGCCCTTAAGAGAGTGGCACAAACTATTCAATTTCCATCCAGTCACTTGAATGCTGACCAAGGGGGGTTTGGGTGGGGCATGGGACAGGGTGGGAATCTCCTCTTTCAAAGCTCTCTAGGAAAATAATCCCATGACCTGGGAACTTACCCTTCTCACCTGCCCAGGATGGATTTTTAAATTTCCTACTTGAATGTAGCCTGATCTGCAGCAGGTCCTGTGTGTGTGAGAAGCTACACAGATGTTTAATTAGTACACTGAAATAGCCAGTAGGGTGTAGAGCAGGGATAGAATGTAGGAGGTCTGTGAGCATGAATAGAACCAAAAAAGTCTAGCCTACAGTCGAAATTTAGCGTTTCTTTCCATCATGAACCCTGAAACAAACCACATAAGCTAAAGCAGTACTTGCTTGTACCTGTCACCTATAGACTCTTGGGTATTTTCATGCTACATGATTATTGCAGGTATCCTGAAACATCATCTACGCTCACTGCTGTCTTGGATAGTTATTAGATCACTGCTAAGTTACCATTCTAAGGTGTTAAAAGGGTTTATCAGTGATTTTTTTTAATTTTGATAAATGCATTTCAGTCTAATTGGTGTTCTTTGTAATCCTATATATCTCATTCTGAGAAATCCGTAAGCTTCACCAGACTGCTTCACCAAACCCTTGAGCGTTAGTGATTTCCTAAGGATGCCTTCTGTCATCCAATACCTTTCTCAATGTTATAATTTTATTTTTTTTTTTTTAGTTTCTAAGCCAGCACCCTATTGGGAAGGAACAGCTGTGATGAATGGAGAATTTAAGGAGCTCAAATTAAGTGATTACCGTGGGAAATACCTGGTTTTCTTCTTCTACCCACTTGATTTGTAAGTAATACATATGTACATAATAGCCAGTAAAGCTTCAGTCATTGTCAGTCATCATTCAGGAACATCAACTAAGGTTAAATTATTTTCTTTAGCTCTTGGTTTATAAAAGGAAGCTGAGATGAAGAATTGTTTCAAGGACTTCTACTACTACATATTTCAGATTCATAATTCATTGCCCCCAACAACTTACCACAACATGATGTTATCACAGTGTAATCATTAGAGAAAAACTGCAACTATAGTCATTAACCTATGCCTACTAAGGCAATAAAATGGACTGATACTATTTTAAAAAGCATTTCATAGCAAGATTTACACCACTAATCTCTTTAATGTCTCTGTTAACTAGAAAATCAATACATTCTTTTCTCTGATAATGCCATTTGACTATTTTTATTCTTTGCTGCATCTGGTGCTTTCTTGTGATTTGAAAATATTGTATATGAATAAGAAAGGTTACCTATTAATACAAACTGTGTTGTTGTAGGGGGTTTTCCTACTTTTGGCTCTGTAGCAGTGGGCACTTTTGTAAACAGGCCAGACGCTGACTCAAAACAAATGCTCTTGCAGTTTTTCAAATTCCAAGAAAGTTAAAAGATACCAAAAAGTAAGTTATCCCAACTTTGATCTTTTTTGTATTTGAATACATTGTTACAAAAGTATGTAGAAGATTCTTTTTCTCTTGGCCATTGTATATTAAGATCTCTTTTCCATGAGGACTAATTTAGAACTATGTAAATAAAATTTAAACTTTCAAAAAAAATTTAAACTTTCAGGGAGGATGCACTTGAACTCATCTCTGTTGGTTGCCTCTAAGCCTCTGAATAGATCCAAATAGTAAGCAATTTGATTATGTGATGATCTCTATTGTAACTACTCAACTTCACCACTGCAACACAAAAACAGCCATAAATAATACATTTAGAATCTGTATTTTTCTGTTCCAGTTAAAGGTTATTTACAGAAAGTAAGAGGCCAGATTTGGCCTGTACATTGAGGTTTGCCAACCCATACTCAAATCCAAAAAAGGACAAATTCTCATAAAGTCAATACACTGAGGTTAAGTCGTGAATCTATGTAATATATGGTCTTTTTAAATTAGTGAGAAATTCCTTCTTTCTAATCATCTAACTTATACTATGACTTGCCTCGCTAAAACTCATATTTCCTAGTAGAAACCAGAAGTAGAATTTTTAATATAGAAAATGATAGACCTTCTAAATTCATGTTGTTAGAAAACTAAAACATTAACATATTTGTTAAGTACATAAACCTGAATTTTGAAATTATTCTTACATAGCAGACAAATAATGCTGTTTCTTCAGTGCTACTTAAAACTCCATAATGAATAAGACAGAGCAAGTCAGAATATGATCTTAGCAATCGTCACCAGGGTAAAACGCTCCTTGCTGTTGCTTCTGCCTGAGACACTGGGCCTGGTCAGAGCAGGGACACTTCTGGGCTGTTTGCCAGTTTGTGAGGAGGAAAGTCACAAATGTAACCTGTCAGTTTTCTGGCAGCACTTTCTCTCCATCTTCACTTAAAAGTTGGGCAAATGTGTCTCTAGGTACATTTCTTGGGGTAATAGGAAGGCACAGGCTGACTGTTCCTCCCTTTTGGAAAACAGTTTAAATACATACTCTAGCCCAGGTATCCAGGGACATTATCTAGATTAGAACTGTCCACTCGCACATGGCTGTCTTCACTTGAACAGCTGATATATTTGAAAAGCCTGTTACTGGGCTGTGGTAGGAACTTATCATCCCCTCCATCTACATTTTCCAAACTTTCTTGACCAAACACACCATAGAGCGTGCATTTTTTGTTGCCACCCAAAACACCAACATACACAGGGAACATTGTCTGTGTGTAACGCCAGTGCAGCCGTGCTCATTCAACAGTGTCAAACTTCCAGTCAGTGCCACTTCCCCCACACCTTCCCCCAGTTGCTCTTCCCACCTGTTCCTTTCAGGAACCCCCAATGTAAAAGCCAACTTTGAGTTAAGTTTGTTAGCTGTATTGAGTGTCCTGAACATTCTCATATGCCCGCACACAGCGCGTTTCATAACCTACCTGTGCACGATGTAGCCTCATACTTTCATTTCACCTTTTTAAATGTTGGTTGGTCAGAACTCAGTAAAATGGCATCAGGTGTCCCGACTGTGATTTGAAAAATACTATCCTAAGGTAATATTCTCTAAACATGCCTTCTGACAACATGGAAGAACAAAGAATAAGATCTATTGCTGTCGTGGGATTGGGTGACAAGGTGGAAGAGAATTTAGGAGAAAGGGGGAGGAACGTGAGCATTTCCTCATCCCCAAGCAGAGAGGCGTCCAACTCAGAAGGTGCATAGAGGAGGGTTTTTTGTATTGAAATGATGTAAACGTTGTACAAATCACTCTATAAACAGAGTATTATTAAATTAAAATAAATAAGGCCCTCCCTGGTGGCGCAGCGGGTTAAAGCACAGCACTGAGAAGCTAAATCCACTTCCACATGAGTTCGATTCCCGCCTGCCCCGGAGGAGACCACATGGCGAGGCAGACCTCTCCTG